GTTTGGAGCCTATTAAAATCAGTTCAGTCTTGCTATCATTAATTAACAGTCTATTATGAATCATCCACTTCCTGGTCTTTTCAATACAGTTCTCCATTGTTTGCAAGACTTGGTCTTCAGATGTAGTGTTAGGTTTAAAACTCAGATATAACTGGGTGTCATCAGCATAACAATGAGCACAAGGAAGCTCGTGTTCAATGATCTTAAAGAGCTTAGATGCATATAATAAATAGAATTGGTCCAAGACACGACCCTTGAGGAACTCCGCAGCCTAAATCGAATGGGTTAGATATCAATCCCTCGATGTCGACTTTTTGCATCCTGTTATGGAGATATGACTCAAACCAGCTCAGGGCAGAATCAGCAATACCTAATTCTTCGTATAGACGTTTGATCAGTATATCATGATTAACAGTGTCGAAGGCGGCACTAAGATCCAACAAAAGCCAAAAATTGACATGCTGGAGAGCATGATGTTAGATACTCATTTCTTGAACTACTTTTGTGAGGAGGACTTGGGGAAAGGCTTGAAAGGAGCAGAATCGCACAGATCAGATAGACAGATCAGATCAGAGAGTAGTACATGGAACCCTGGTATACAACACTTTTCCTAAGTGTTTCCCCATAACAGTTTCCAGCCACAGGGACCACATGTAGCCCACAGGCTGACTTGCACTAGGGAATATCACTTAAGATCATACGAAAACGTAAAATGTAAAGACCCCTCTGAATATGCCGGTGTTATGCGAAAAGCAAGCCATAGCATAACTAATCAAAACTTACCTCTCCCCACACATGAGCTTTCCTCTGGGGAGAAAATATAATAGAGGGTAGGTGTTTCCAATGTAAATTAAACAAGCTCCCCTGAACCCGATGCTTTTAGATTCAAGAGTCTGTCCACGAGAGGACCGGGTAGGCGTGATACATACCATCTCACCGATTTCGGGTCCCCGACTTCTTTCAAACTTTCACAGTTTCTGAGGGTCACTAATTCATTCAAGAATCCAGAGTGGTTCGGGTTCCCGACTCATCCCTGGGGTATAGGAGCCCCCACATCAAATCCCTCGGATAAAAGGCTTAAATTAGCTCGAAAAATGCCCTTCCTTCTTCACTCTCACAGCAACAGAATGCCAGGGATTTTGTCCAATGGTTGTTTCAACCTTAAGGAAACAATTTCTTAAATTTGGGGTAATTTACTATAATTTAGTTCAGTTTAGAGCAGTTAGTCATTAACTGTGTCACGTAACTATTCCGAAAAAGAAAATTTACACCAATGAAATAATAATCTTTAAAGGAGGCTGAAGCCAAAAATTGAGTTAATTTTTTTCGACAGCCAAAGAGACGAAATTCTTGATTTCAGCCGTTTTTTGTTCTAAATGTTTCTTACCTCTAAGAAATGTCTTTAAAGTTTCTATTTTCGCACTGTTTCGGCTTTCAAACCATGGGCATCAATTTTAAATTAGCGGTCTTCCAAAATAGCTTGTGAAGTATGCTATGGGGAGCACTAGAGACCGTGTTCTCGTATCGTTTGGCTAAAATGTATCACAAATTGCCTCTTCGTCGACCCTTTGTCATGAGCGGAATAGAACCGTTTCAGTTCTCGACAATTCGAACTGACATATCAACCTGGAGGAGAACCCTCTCAGGAAGAGAATGAATTACATATAGTCGGATAATTTACCATACTCTGCACAAATATCTGTGATGTCTGAACTGAAAAAGTGTTACTGTGATTACATAACTCCCCAATCCTTGGCGACGAAGTCCTTTCAAACCCTTTTAAATGTTCACGAAGTTTGTTCTTCATCTCGTCTAGTGAATTTAATCCTTTCCTTGAAAGACGGAAATATTTAATTAATTCGCAAGCTTCAGTTATATCGATGCAGTGCAAGAGCGAAAATCAGATCATTGACAAGTAAAGACTGCTTCCATGTCACGGTTGAACCAGGTGTCTGTCATCACCACGAGCTGCCAGCCAATGAAATGATAAAGTCTGCGACACTAATAGCAATCAGAGACGATTTCCTAGAAACTAATATCATCGTAAAAAATCATTGTTATCCCTCTTCGCTTTTCCGTCATTTTTGTAAGAGAATTCGAACAACTTTTGATCGTACGCGGTTTTCATCAAGGGATTCACGGGTGACTCACGCTAAATAGCTTTGCAATGTTTAATTTCTGTAAATAGAGAAAGAAAACATGATTTGTCAAGGTATAGTTCTTTTAGAGGCTGATGCAACAACGGGAAGATTAGACTTTCAATTATACTTAAAATCAACTGGGATTGATAACGTAGAAGAGCAAAGCGGTTGATAACGCTAGTGTTTTCGCCCAAAGTATCTGTTATCACTCTAGAGCGACTTCGCTGCTTCAAAGGTCGCTTTGCATTAAACGTAAACATGACATGAAACCTTGGTTACCGTAAGTCGTCACGTGATAATTCTTTTAATATAGGCCTCGCAAAACAATCTCGAAATTGGAAATTCATTCTCTACTGAGCGCCGTGTATTCAGTTTTCCAAAGTTTCTTTTGGAAGAAAAAAATGGAAGCCATCAGACGAAAATTGGATGAGGCAGATGACATCGCCAAGGTTATCGATTTAATGCAGAATTTGAGCATTCCAACTAAAGGATGCAAAAACATCGAGGACATGAAGGAAAGGATTCTCGCTCATCTAAGCTCTCGAAAAGATAACCGCTTGGCCTGCAATGAGGTAGGACTGCCGGGGAAATGTTTGAATCTCAGTAAATGAACGTGGATTTACTGCTTTATGGGGTTCTTCGTGATAATTTAGACATCATTTTCTAGCTAAAGCGTCGTTGTAAGCTCATTGCAATCGATGGAAAATGTCTGGTAAGCTAGCAGTCATATTTATTGTCTTTCTACTTTACATTTGCTCCTTATCTTACTATTGCATTAGGTTCTTTTGCACAGCCTGGCTGGTTGTAAGTAATGTACTGGGGAAACATTGTTTTTTTAACAAACTTTTACTTGGCAGCAAGTATCCTTCGACTCGAAAGCGAGTCGATGAATGTTCACATTAAACTTATTATCATCATACCGCTGTAGCTCATAAAAGTGGCATCGTAAAACGAATGGCTCAGAATCTACAGGGCGACTGCCAAGGAAATAATTCAATATCAGTAAATGAAAGTGAATTTACTGCTTTTAGGGGTTCTTCGTAATGATTTAGACATTTCCGGCATCATTTTATTTATCATCGCAGTCGATGGAAAATGTCTGGGTAAGCTAGCAGTTATATCTATTGTCTTTCCACTTTACATTTGTTCCTTATCTTACTATTGCATTAGGTTCTTTTGCACAGCCTGGCTGGTTGCATGTAATGTACTGGAGAAACATTGCTGTTTCAACAAACTTATTTGGCAGCAAGTATCTTTTAATACTATTCCTTTCCTCTGCGCATTTCGAAAGCGAGTCGATGAATGTTTGCACTAAACTTATTATCATCACGTCGCTGTAGCTCATAAACGTGGAATCTTAAGACGAATGGCTCTGAATCTATAAGGCTCTCACATATCATGTATAGTTACTTTCTAAAACGTCTTGCAGTAACAGATCTTTACTTTTCTTACGCGATTAAAATTACTGCAAAGATTTCAAAGAAACATAGAAACGCAACTCGATCCTTAAATTCAGTTCTATAATTTCATGTCTGTTCGGTTACCGATCAGTGCATCAATCGACCTAACATCATGAAATTCACCGTTAGGCTCAGCTCTATATTTTGTTCCGATCAGTGAATTCACAACAGCAGGTAGACAGTCTGGCCTAGAGCAGAAAATACAGTAATTTCCTCGGTCGTTTCAACTTCAAAGTTCATTTGTAATTCATCTGACTCACGGTGTCTGCCATTTGTCTCATGCAAGATTAGTTGAAAATTAAGCTATATATATCCAGAAAAAGAAAAATGGGTGGCTTTGATGAAATGTAATGACATTCGGCGGAACTTAGCTGTAGGTGGCAGCGACTGAAAATAGAAATAAGCTAAAATAATTTCCTCCTGGTACGAACAAACTCTTTTGTTGCGGTGAATGTAAGGTCTGACAATAGTAATTTATGCATTAATTTTAGCTCTCGAACTGTCAATCTTATTCAAAACAGGTGATTCTTGTAAATGAATATCCAAGTATCTCGTTCTAAATTATACGTGCATAGTTAGTGTATGTGGTGAACTGTACTCAGTATTTATGCGAAGGTCGGCGCAGCTGCATTTGGTCGGGAAAACGGTTCCTGTTTTCCCAGGGGCGTTTTTGGGTTTTTCGTAACAGGCGGGTGCTCGTTTGCCTTCTCCAAGTGCTGTAAACTATGCTTGTTTGGATCGCCCTTGTTATACACATCTACTTACTTGAGCTTGCATTTGTGCACTGACACGGACGACAGTATACACTCAGTTCGACATACACACCAATATATTTGCCGTTTTTCAGTTTTGAATTGGAATCAAAGTGCTCTGTGAGCAAACTCGTGAATGGACAGATGACTTACATGATTTTTTGGATTAAGTTTAATGTTATCTGGTTTAGGGAATTTTGTGGTTGATTGTCATATTTATAGTACGAGCAGTAGTTCAGTGTTCGCTAATGTAGCAAAGAAACAAAATAATGTTGGGATAAGAAGGCATTACAATTGAAATGATCATGCTATTGCATTTGACAAGGGTGGATAATGTCATGTGTTTTAAAACTTTATCATTTTTGTTTCTAGTTAAAAAGAAAAGGTTGGAAGTAAATTTGGGTGAAAAGTAAAATTTACTGTCTATTATTGTAAATATTGGAAAATCAAGGCAATACTGTCTTAATGAAAACATTATTCATGCCCTCTTAAGCAAATGTGATAAACGGGAACGAGTTTTGAGTGATATAACCAAGCCCAGACTGCCACCGTCATTTTGGATTTCCGCCTTGGTAGATTTTGGTCACGTGCTAGCAACGTATAATCAAGAACAAGATAGAATTTTATTTCAGGCCAATTTATCAATTTTGTGGTGTATAACTTTCGTATTTTAGTTTGTAATATTTATTTTGACTCTTCAAATTGTCTTGAAACTTAAAGGAAGATTATTCTTAATAAATTCATTGAAAATCGGTAGCCAAAATTATTTGTTTAGGTGTTATTTGATTTTCGTGTTAACCTATAATTTCGTCAGTCGCCGGCACCTTTTGTTGCTTCACACAGAAAAAACACACGATACGAAATGTAATGATCGATTTTGTCCCAATCTCACGCCATAACAGAAAAAGTTTTTGAACACCTGTAAACTCCGAGCGCTTCGGAGTAAGTGATTTTTTTAATGAATCTTCGGATTGTTTTCAAGTCTACATGTACCCATTTGCTTATTTAACTCATTTAATATTAATTTACGCATGTTTCAGGCCTTTAAGGTGATTTCAGAGGCACAATCAATGGACAAGGAAAAGTCATTAGCCCTTCTTGATTATTACGCTAAGGTGGAGAGGGAAATACAGGGCCTTGACGCTACAGTCCTTGATTTGTTGAAAACAAGCGAAGGCGACGTCTTTTCTAAGATCAAGACAAGAATAAAAAGAATGCAAGACAGAGATTATGTTCTTCTCGTCGCAGGTGAATATCTTGAATATAATACCTTACCCAAACCACTGAGGTGCTTTGATAAGTCATGATCATGCTAAGCACAAAGAAAGCCGGTCTAACAGTGACAGAGAGGAAGTTTCCCAATTAATTCATGAATAACCGTCAACTGGGGTCTATCGAATTCTTAAGCCGGAGAGCTTAATTCATGTAGCGACTTGTGGGGCTTCGACCTTTAAAACAGGAAATGTTATATCGAATAACTCGAACTCGAGAATATGGGCGGAAGACTTTATGGCAGTTGTATTTTACTTATGGTAAAATTTCAAACTAATATTGGTTGTTTAAGAAGGAATTTGAGATTGACGATTTAAGCAATGATCATTTGGCATTTTATTTACGCTTAGGCGAGACCAGTGCAGGCAAAAGCAGCATGTTGAACCTAATTCTTGGTGAGGAGCTTTTGCCATTTTCTGTTTTGAGTACAACATCAACAATTTGTGAATTGAAATATGGAAGAGAGAAAAGGATAAAGATACACTATAAAGAAGAAGGAAAGGCTCCACAGATAAAGCATCTTAACGAATCCTCGCCCTACATGGATCAAATATCAGAATTTGTTCATGTCAAGTCTGCAAGTTTAAGAGAAAAGGCATCGAGCTACAAAGAAGTGGAACTGTTTTGGCCTCACAGATTATTACAGGTTAGACACTCCGACGATCATGCTTCAAACCGTACTTTTATAAATATGATGTAAGGTAGCAACTAAATTTCAGGATCTTTTCAGGGGATTTAACGTCGAATTGTAAGAATAACCTGGATAAAATAAACTTACTTACCCTGTTTCCACACTAGGACGGTGTCGTGATCGTTGACAGCCCTGGCGTCGGGGAGTCTGAGATTATGGACGACATTGTTGTGAGCTACTTACCAAATGCCTTTGCTTTCATCTATGTCATCAACAGCAGCAATGCTGGCGGAGTTCAAAGAGATCGGGTAAGTAATAATTGATACTTTCTGAAATGACTACTAGCAAAACCCTTTCAACTCCTCACCAGTGCTTGATCTACTTCTTAAACCCCGAATTTTTTTGGATAGCTCAAAGAGTTCAAAAAGCTATCTCATTTAAGCGCTATGTTTTAATTGAATCTTTTTATATAGCTTGTTTCTTCATTTGTTAGCTTGTTAGACTTCTGCACAAAACGAGGGAACTCACGACTGAACAGCAAATGGAATTCTCACCAAACTGCACTTTGTTCGTTTGCAACAAGTGGGACACCATACCAACCTCAGAGGGAGATGTGGTCATAGCGCACATAATCAACAAGTTGAGTCAGTGTTTGCCAGATCTAGACACAAATACTCATATTATTCGCCTTTCAACCACTAAAGCTCTTGCGGCCCAGAAGTTTGGAGTCATGAATTCAGAATTTGCCTCACTTACAGACAAGATTGGCTGTCTGGTTTCGAAAAGCATCGAAACAAGACTTGAACAACATTGGAGGTAGTGTAGATCATTTGTAAATGTATGTTAATCATAAAGCTATAATTTATTAGGCAAAAATCACCTCGTTCAGCTGTGGCCTTTCATCAAGATTTCTCTCTTTCCAACAAAAATCGCTGCTATAGACGAAAGTAATTGTACAAATCTACACTTTTTTTCCTGATTACTTAAACCCTCCTCCCAACCGGCCAGCTGTGTAACTTGCGGTAATTCAAGAAAGAAGTTTAAGGTAAAAGAAGCCATATCCGAGGTGCAGTAATTAAGGGATAGACCTTCCCCTCTGAATTTCCATAAAACAAAGTGAAAATGATAGAATCTTGCAATATTCCTTTGATGACGTCATACCATCTCTGAAAAGTATACGAGGAATAGATGCATGGACAGCTACCTGAAAAAAAATCCAGGAGCCTTTCCAAATTTTCCTCGGAGAAATCGGGAAAAAATGTGTACCCGTGGTATAGAATTAACGAACTGGTAACTGTATTTGATTCTTCCTTAATTTGTACAGCTGGTTAGATCGTTTGTTGTCTCGAATAATCTGGCTGATGAGTACATTAATAAGTCATATCTCCACTGACCATGTGGCTGCAAGAGATAGATTAAATGCTGTGATAGAGAGGCTGGGGAAACTTCAAGCGGAACAAGAATCATCGAAGAAGGAAATGACGCAATGTCTTAAAGCGAGAATTCGTCAGGCGATGAGCACCTTAATCGACCACCTAAAGACTCCCCAAGTGGTAGAGATGTTTTGTAAGTGGAACTCTGACGAACTTCCAGCTGTCGAGAATTCATGGGAAGTTACTGAGGCTGTCCTCGTTAAGCTTCTTCAAGGAAGATTACAGATGTTGATTGAAGAATGGGAGGAAGAACAGCAAAGGTTTACGGAGGCACGGAAATCAGTCATCAAAGAGTTCCTTGAAAAATACAATTATCTGGAGGGAGAGCTTCGCAACGTGGAAGTCAATATCATACAAGTACAAGTAGATGTTGAAGAAAAAACGGCAAGCGAAAGTGTAGAGGATCAAGTTTTCAAAAGCTTTGACAACTTTTCCCTTCTATTTGAAGATAAACTTTTTCTTGGAATAATGATTCCTTTCATGCTTCCAGCTGCTCTTGTTGGAGTTGCGTTGTCTGTTCCAGTAACACTGCTTTGCCTTCCAATTTTGGGAGCTAAATCTATTGCTGACAACATCAAAGAAGCAAAAAAGAAGAGTGCATACAATAAAGATCGCGCTGAGTACGTACGAATCATGTCACAAAAGTTTCTGGCGAAAGCTGCAACCTTCGAGGCGCTAAAGCCATTGGTCAAAGTGCAATTGGAGCTAGCTGGAAACACCCTAATTGACCTGCAAGCGAGAATCCCCATGCTTGTTGAAGCCGATGTAAAACTTTGTCAGCAACTTCTAAAGGAGGCACAAAGCAAGAAGGATACTGAAACTCGCTACAAGCCCTGTAGAGACAAATGCAAGCGTTTGCGCGGTGAGCTCGCGCTGTTTGGTTCTCTAGAAATTCGGAGCATGCGGCTCGCTTGGGATGACCTCTTTTGGTATGTCAGCGAGGATGTCTACTTGAAGCGACCAATGGAACCTGGGCTCTACCAAGGGCGCATTTCTAAGGGAAGGTACTCATCAAGTGGCCAAGTAACCTTTAAAGTGTACAGGGAACTGCTAACCAGCAGCAATATTACTGAGTGTTTGGCAGACGAAGCAAACCTGAGGTACGACTAAACTAATATAAACCAAACAATTTTCTATCAAACGCTCAACCAACAAAATAACCTTGTTTGTTTTGGGATGCAGAACACGCGTTATGTTAGTAACATTTTGGTATTCTTCCCAAAATACCCAAGTCACTTCAGTAGGTGTGTTGACCTATTATTCTTGAAACATGACATTCGTATTGGCATTCCTCGTTAAATGTTCACTTCTGTTCGATTCGTTCTGTCTGTAATTAATTTTACCGGTTCAGTGCTCTGATAACCGAGCTAACAAGCCAACTGAGAGCTGTTTATTGAGATGATTTGTAATAAACTGCCACCACAGAGGTCATGGGTTCAAATCCCGTACAGGCCTGCTTAAGTAGTGTTTATTACTGCGAAGATCGCTTCCGTGGTTATCTCATAAACCGCGATTCACATATATGATTTTCATATATTCACAATTTTTCTGAAAATGTTGATCCACTTTAACAAGTAATTTTGTTGTCACTCTTACCAGGTCCAAAGTTGAAATTTGTTCACGTTTCTTGTTTTTGTTGTTCACTCTACAGGAGGCTTTGCCATCCTCGCATAGTCACGTTTTACGGTGCTGTTTTCAGAAAGGTTCCAAGAGGTTTAGAAGCAGCTTTTGTAACTGAGTGTCCAGGAGTTGACTTAAAGTACTATCTGATCGATCAACCTGGAAATTGTCCTGCAAAGAATCCTATAACGAAGATGGGCGTGATTCGCTGGGCAGCCCAAGTCGTCGAAGCACTGCTGTCCATCTATAGCATGTTTGACGGATGTGTTCACGGTGACCTTCGGTTGAAAAACGTTTTGGTAGGGAAATATTTCATTGTTATAAAACATTTTGCTTTTAATTGGTTTTACACTCAAGGAAAAAAAATAATAGACTTAGAAACTATCAGAGCACGGACAAAAATATAGCTCTCAAAAGACATCCAAGGTCTATAACTCGCATTAAAATAAAAGGTTGGATTATTTCTCTCTTCCATGTGCGCAGAGCTTTTCTCGTTCAAGGACTTTCACGTCGCTTTCCAAACTTAGGCTTAAGTACACTTTGATCTCGACTTAGCCAAGCCAAATAGCTTGCAATTAGACCCTTACAATTTTGAAAAGCTAAATTGATCATAAACGCGAAGTGATCAACTTCACGTGTACCTTCGCGAGTACCATCTATTTCATAACTTACACTTATTGCAAAAAGTTATACATTAGTGAAACAGGAAGACGACTGGGTGACCGATTCCGAGCACACGACGTAGAGGGAAATGACAAGGACATATCCAAACCAGTCGCTAAACACTTGATCTCCTTAATCGTCCCATGTAGCATATGGCAGTTTTCGGGCTTTCTCTACATCTAAGCAGTTCAGGAAGCCGCAAAGCTCTAGAACAAAACTTTCTCTCTCAAACCGGCACCCTTAATCCCCACGGTATCAACGAGCGCTTTTTCATATTCAACCAATGAAGTTAGCTTTTAAACTCTTTACGGAGGCCAATTTACGTTATCAACTGAGTTGCCAGTACCAAACTTCCCTGTTATACTCTCCCTTTATTCATTTATGGTATAGTTATGAAGCAGCGTGTAAAATATATTTCATAACATCAAAAAGCAGATGAAGATATAACTGCTTTGTCTATAAGCAAGTGTGTTTGAACCAAACTCGTGACCCTTGCCTTGTCAGAAAGTGGAAACATGCTCATTTTTATTTTATTTCTTTTGATGAGATCCAATTATTCTATCAAAATGCGAGTCAACCAAGACAAAACCATTGTTTATCGAGTTTCTTTCAATCATCAATTTGAATTATTCTTTCGGTATTATTTTACATAGCTTGACGGTCCCAATCTCCGTGATATTAAGTTGAGCAACATCTCCCTCAGGAGGCGGCTGACCATCGAACATGGATCAAAGTGTGATGCATTTCTTCATCTTCCGCCAGAAGCTGTGCGAAATAGAAACTACAATTCCTCTTCAGAGATTTACTCCCTCGGGATCTTGTTCTGGGAAATGTGGTACGGCAAAGAAGCCTTTGACGATCTCAAAGGTCAAAAGATGGAAGAATTTTTATCAAGCGTAGAAGGAGGCCATCGTCCCGACCTAACAGGTATCACAACTCAGACATCAGTCATGTGGATTGGCCTCATTTCTGGCTGCTGGGAGAAGACAGCCTCAGAAAGAAGTAGCCTCGCAGATTGTAAGTCAACTATCGAGGAAATTTTAGCTAGTCAAAAATAGAGTCTATCCCGGAAAATAGTTACATGATACTTCAACTGGATGTAAAATGGAAAAACAAACTTAAAGTTCAAGAGGGCATTGAAAGCAACTTGGGACACAAAGCTGGATTAGCCTCAAACTTTGAAGTTAACTACACTTTGAAAGTTTCAGTCATATCCTTTGTATCAAATCACAGACATTATCTTCTAAACTAAAAGAGTCTCTAAATTTTTGGTTTAAACCAGTTTTAATTAATTCTGTGATGGGGACTTTTTTAACATCATGTTGGGCAAGTCCCTACACTTAGTGAATACTTCATAGCTTTTTTCCTAACTGTTAACTAACTAAAATACTGAGGTCATCCACGTATTTTTTTAAAAATTTTTTTATTATTATTCCTTAAAATCGGATTTTTTTGTGTGTGTGCTTTAGATAGCTTTGATCAGTTAGTCTTTCTTCAGCAAATACGAATTTCAATAAAACTTCAGGAGCTTTCTATCTTATACTTTGGATGCTAAGTAACTGTTTGTTTTATAACTTTTCCATATTGTCACTTTGTGGTGAAAGGGTGGAATCTTTTATAATGATCATGTAGTGAAAATAAGGGACACCAACTGCATTATGTATCTTTGCTTATCACACTTTGTAGTTGTCGCTTTGGGAAAAGATGATGTAAAATTCACTCTTGAGCTATAATGTGTTGACCACATAATATTTCTTATGTAGCACGGAACAGTTCTAGGAAATTCTGAAGGCGTCTGATGTCCAGAGAAGCTAGGTTAACTTTATTTAGTAAAATAGTGTACGAAAAGAAGCAACGCTGTAGAAAAAAGCAAAAATTGGGAAGGAGATGAAAGAAAAAATAGACTCACTTGTAATTGTAAAGATTCTAGAGGTTGCGGCTTACTCAAATCCTCAACAACTACAGGGATGGCGCGGTACGAGGTGAAAATAATTCAAACTCCACTCGGTAGATTTAAACTGGTTTAGTGACAGATCAAAATTCAAAGGTCTAGATCACTCGGTAGCGTTTGGCATGAAGGGTCACGAAGAGAGCGAAGATCGAAGATCGTTGGGCTTAGTAGCAGTAGCAGTGGAAAAATAGTAGTAGGTTCGAACTGAAATACGATAATTAAAAATAGATTCTAACTTAGATAAGGCTGAAGAGAAAGGATAGACTATCAAGAGACAGAACAACAATAAAATAGCGAACTCCTAGCGTGAAATGAGTGGACGTGATAATTTTCGTGTCATATAAATTATTATCAAACGAAGGTACAAAGAACAGTATCGTACTAAATAAAAAAGGTAACTAATTGAGCTTAAAAGGATAAAAATTTGAAAAGAAATAAGGAAAATTTGTAAATAGGATCGTTTCGCTATAATATTGCAATAATAACACTTAACTGACTAAACGAGACGTTCTATGACCGAAAAAAGGTTGATGATTCTGTGACTTATTTAACAACAGATTTACGTACTTTGGTTGACGACTCGCACTAAAAAAAAAAAAACAAGATAATTGAGATAGGGGTAGCTTGGATCCTTCTGATTCTAGCAAAGGTAGTAGTGTGGCTTCACCTAACTTACTTTTTTTTACTTACGGTATGCGTCGCACTTTTATGGGCTATGATACGTGAAGAAAGCTAAGGCGCTGCTAAAAGTAGCGCCTACAATAAGAACTATTTCCTGGGCAGCAAAGAATCCAAAGTTATGATACAATTCCAGGATATCTCGATTTCTGCCGAAACTTTCATTTAAGATCACTTAGTCCACTATATAATAACTTAATATAAATCGAACGAAAGTTTGTAGGAAAGTGTTAAGGGTGTTTAAAAACTATCATCACTGAATGGTCCAAACTTTACATTGTTCACGTTTCTGAGGCTTAACTTTTTCAGCGATGAACTTTAAAATGAAACCTATTTTTGTAGATTGTCAGAAAGGACACGGGTGGTTTATTTATTATTTTTTTTTTATTTTTTGCGTTTTCTTTGCAAACTCCGTCTTTTTGTCTGTTTTTCCTATTTGGATAAATACCTAAGCTGTATTCTATTGGTTAACGCACCCTTGATCGCAGTCACGTGATTATACTTATATATCATTTTATGTAATCATAAACCATCGTATCTTAATAAAGCAGTTTTGTAGAGAATATGGTCTGATTCACGCATTACTCTATAGTAGTACATCGAACCCTAGTATACAAAACTTTTACTGAGTGTTTTCCCTCAACAATTTCCAGCCACAGGGACCACATGTAGCCCATAGGCTGACTTGCGCCTGGTAATAACACTGTAAGTCATACGAAAACATAAAATGTAAAAACCCCTCTAAATATGCTGATTTTATGCGAAAAGCAAACCATAGCATAACTAACCAGAACTTACTCTCCCCACACATGAGCTAGAGACTTAGGGCACTTAACAACCCCCCTCCCCCCCTTAAACAGACCATTCCTATAAGGAAAAACTAGAGGGTAGGTGTTTGCAATGTAAATTGAACAAGCTTCCCCCAACCCAATGCTTTTAGATTCAAGAGTCAGTCCACAAGAGGACCAGGTAAGCGTGACACATGTCATCTCACCGATTTCGGGTCCCCGACTTCTTTCAAACTTTCACAGTTTCTAAGGGTCACTAATTTATTCAAGAATCCAGAGTGGTTCGGGCTCCCGGCTCATCACTGGGGTATTAGAGCCTCCACATCAAATCCCTGGGGTAAAAGGCTTAAATTAGCTCGAAAAATGCACTTCCGACTAATTACTCTTCTTTTGCTCTTTTACTCTCCAATGGTTGTTTCAACCTTAAGGAAAAAATTTCTTAAAGTTGGGATAATTTACTATAACTTCTGCCAGTTTCGAGCAATTAATCATTAACTATGTCACGTAACTATTCCAAAAAAGGAAATTTACACGAATGAAATGGTTCTCTTTAAAGGAAGCTGAAGCCAAAAATTGAGTTAAATTTTTTCGACAGCTAAAGAGACGAAATTCTTGATTTCAGCCGTTTTTTGCTCTAAATGTTCCTTACCTCTGAGAAATATCTTTTTAAAGTTTCTATTTTCACACTGTTTCGGCTTTCAAACCATGGGCATCAATTTTAAATCAGCACTATTCCGAAAAAGCTTGTGAAGTATGCCATGGGGAGCACTTGATACAGTTCCTTTTGGAAGAAAAAAAATGGAAGCGATCCGACGAAAATTGGATGAGGCAGATGACATCGCCGAGGTTATCGATTAAATGCAGAATTTGAGCATTCCAATCAAAGGATGCAAAAATATCGAAGACATGAAGGAGAGGATTCTCGCTCATCTAAGCTCTCGAAAAGATAACCGCTTGGCCTGCAATGAGGTAGGACTGCCAGGGAAATAATTCAGTATTACTAAATGAACGTGTATCTAGGGTTTCTTTGTTATGATTTAGACATTTCCGGCAACATGTTATAGCTAAAGCGTCGTTGTAACCTTTTTTTAGTCGATAGAAAATGTCTGGGTAAGCTAACAGTCATATCTATCATCTTTCCGCTTTATATTTGCTCCTTATCTCATTATTGCATTATTGCATTGCACAGCCTGGCTGGTTCCATGTGATGGGCTGGGGATACATTGCTATTTTAACAAACTATTACTTGGCAGCAAGTCTCCTTCGACTCGAAAGCGAGTCGATAAATGTTCACAATAAACTTATTATAGTCACATCACTGTAGCTCATGAACGTGCCATCGTAAAGCGAATGGCTCAGAATCTATAAGTCTCTCATATATCATCTATGGTTACTTTATAGGACTTCTTGTAGTAACAGATTTTTACTTTTCTTACGCAATTAAAGCTACTGCAAAGATTTCATAGAAACAGAAACTTGATCCTTAAATTCAGTTCTATAATTTCATGTCTGTTCGGTTACCAATCAGTGCATCAATCGACTCAACATAATACAGCAGAACGGCTACGGATCGCTCGCTCGCAAGTTTGAGCTTTATAGAGTTATTGTCTCAAACTGGCTTCGAACTTTCTACTCAGAAACACCCAAAGACCATTCTTCTCCTCAGGTTAATTAAGGCCTGGGTCACCCTGTCTTTAACCCATATTTTCACAAAATCGAGAATAACTTAGCTATTTTGCGAGGGATTTTCTCATACTTGGCAAAAATGTGTATCACTACCATCTCTCTCGGACTGAATTGTGGCAGCGTAATATGATACTCTCAACAGCCAAAAACAGTTAATTTAGGCGCCAAATTCGTCGGTTGCTTTCTTGAGCAAATTCCACCACTAAATACAAGGCAAATCAAAATGCAGTTATCGCTATGAATATTTGAGACGTTTTTCATT